AACAGAAGAACAAAATTCTACAAGCAGTTAGAGAAAAGAAATCACATACAAAGGAAAGTTCATCAGAATCACAGCAGACTTCTCAACACAAACCCTCAAGGCAAGAAGAGCTTGGGGTGACATATTTCAAACCCTAAAAAATGAAAAATAAAAATGAAAAAATAACATCCTCCAACCCAGACTGATGTAGCCTGCAAAACTATCTTTCAAAATTGATGGATAAATAAGACACTTTCATGACAAAGAGCACCTGAGGAACTTCATGAATACCAAATGATCACTCCAAAAAATTTTAAACACTATCCTAGAAAAAGACAAAGAGGATCCCAACCCCAGGGAACACAGCAGAATGAATCCATCAGGCACAACAAGAAATAAAATGCAAAGAAAATAGCTGCACAGGTGCACAAACATCAGCCAGAGGCCCACCCTATATCAATGGCAGGTGCAACAAAAAGAAAAAGTTATGACAAAGACAAGCCAATACTGGACCTCAGGGGCTATAATCATCAATGATAATGGTCACAATTCACTAATCAAAAGAAATAGACTGAAAGAATGGGTTAAAAAACAAGATTCAACAATATGCTGCATACAAGAAACACATTTAATTCAAAAAGAAACGCATAGACTGAAAATTAAAGAATAGAAAGCAATACTCTATGTGACAGGAACCCCAGAAAATGCAAGAGTAGCTATCCACTATGCAGATCAAGTGGATTTCAAACCAACACTGATTAAGAGAGACAAAGCAGGACACTACATCCTTGTAAAGGGAACAATGCAAGAGGAAAAGATGACAATCATAAATATATATATGCACCAAAAACTAATGCACCCAACTATATAAAATGAATACTAACAGACACGGAAACTTAAATAAGCACTAACACAAGAGTAGTGGGGGACCTCAATACACCACTGTCACAAACAGACAGATCAACTAGACAAAAAATAAACAATGAAATACTAGAACTCAATCAAACTCTTCAACAAATGAACTTAACAGATATTTACAGAGTTTCACCCCACAAAATCAGAATACACATTCTTTTCAACTGCACACTCAGCCACCTCATCTTCAACAAGGGAGCCAAACACCCCCACTGTAGGAAAGATAGCCTCACTAATAAATGGTGCTGGAAAAGCTGGGATTTAACTTGCTAAAGATTAAAACTACACCTACATCTCTCATCATGCCCTAAACTAAAATTGAAATGGATTAAAGGTCTAAACATTAAAACAGAAACACTAAACCATCTGGAAGAGAGGTTAGGTAGAACTTTTGAAGACATTGGTGTAGGAAAATATTTTATGAGCAAAACCTCAGTTGCCCATGAACTAGCTCAAACAATCCATATGTAGGATCTCTTCTTATTAAAAAGTTTCTTCCTAGCAAGAGAAACCATCAACAGTGTGAAGAGACAACCCACAATGTGGGAAAAAATTTGCACCATCTCTTCCTCAGACAAAGGTATACTACCTAGAATATATAAAGAACTCAAAAAAATCAGACCCACTCAAATATAAAGACAATTAAAAATGGGCATCTGAAATGAACAGACATTTCTCAGATAAACAAGTAAAAGCAGCAAATAAACATATGTAAAAATATTCAACATCACTGGTCATTTGAGAGATACAGATGAAAACCCTGTGGAGATTCAACCTCACCCCAGAAAGAATGGCTGCTATCAAAAAATCAACCAATAACAAATGTTGCCAGGGTTGTGCAGAGAAAGAAACCCTTCTTCATTGTTGGTGGGAGTGAAGACTGGTACAACCACTGTAGAAATCAATATGGAGATACCTCAAAAAACTAGGATTGGAAGTCCCATTTGACCCAGCTATTCCTTTGCTGGGTAATCTTCCCAAAAGAATTAAAAGAATAATATCACAGCAATATACACTCACCCATCTTTATAGGAGCACAGTTTGTAATAGCTAAAATTTGTTTGTTTGTTTTTTTCTCATTGAGTTTATTGGTACATTTTAGGTATACAGTACAATTACATTCATCATTGGGATCTTGTACCTTTCTTTACATGACAGGTCCTGTTTCTCATTTTTTTCCCCTTATCCCTACCCTCCCTTCACCCCCTCCTCCCTTCCCTATTTACAAATGCTTTATTTCCATTTTTTTGTTTTCTCATTTTTTTTCTTTTCCCTTATTACCTTTCCCCTACCTTTCCCACTTCCCCTACACCTGTAGCCCTTTTCTTCCTATTTCACATTGTCAATTATATCATTAAGATCTTATGTACCATTATAGTTTTTCACACCAGAGAAACTGTTCGGTATTTACACATGTGTGACTTATTTATTTCACTTAGGAGTATATCTTCAATATGTATCCATTTTCCTATGAATGACTCTAATTTCTCATTTTTTATGACTGAGTAGTATTCCATTTTATAGAAAAACTACATCTTCTTTATCCAGACTCCAACTGATGGGTAAATGGGCTGTTTCCAAATTTGTTTAGCTACGTAATAGCTAAAATTTGGAGACAGCGCAATTGCCCATCTGTAGAATACTGGATAAAGAAGGGGTGTGTGTGTGTGTGTGTGTGTGTGTGTGTGTGTGTGTGTGTGTGTACGCGAGTATTACTCAGCCATAAAGAATGAGAAAGTAGAGATATTTAAAGCTAAGTGAGTGCACACTGAGGCCATACCCTTTACTTAAATAAGATACACGTGGAAGTATGGACTAGTTTCTCTGGTGTGAAAAACTAAAAGTGTAAATAAGGATCAAAATGAATAATTGATATTATGTATATAGGTGTTTTTTTGTTTTGTTTTTGTACCAGGGATCAAACTCAAGGCAGGCAGTGGAACCACCGAGCCAAATCCCTGGCCCAATATTGTATAATAGGAAGAAAAGGTCTGAAGGAGTAGAAGTGAGAGGTGTAGGGGAAAAGTAAAAAGGGAAAAGAAAAAATATGTTAAAAGGAAAAACATGGAAATAATGTCTTTGTAAACAGGGAAGGGTGTAGGGGGTGAAGGGAGCGCTGTGGAACAGGGAAAAATAAGAACCAAGATAAGTTTTGTAAAGATACAAGATCCCAAAGATAAATGTAACTGTACTATATACCTAAAATATACTAATAAGCTGAATAAAGATTTAAAAATTTGAAAATAAAAAGGGTAAATTTCAGTTATTTGTAGGAAAATGGCTAGATCTTGAATCCATAATGCTAAATGAGATAAATCAGACACAAAAGGTTAAATGTTGCATTGTTTCTCTTAGATGTGAAACTCAAAATATAAACAATTTAAAGAACAAAATATAAGACAGATGATAAGAAACAGGGAGGTAGACTTTGTGAAAATATGAAGGTGATCTGAGAACAGGAGGATACAGAAGCAAAAAAAAAAGGGAGAATAAAAATGATTCAAACACAATTCTGTATGTACTAATAGCCTAAGAGGGATGTAATTATTACACATCACAAACAGATACTAATAAAAAATGAGCTATTAGGGCTTGGATAAGCTGCTTTCTTCTGAGCTACAATCTGATCGCCTACAAACCCATAGGGTGGCGCAGGACATCCGAGGTACCTTCCCCTTATTACGCTGGCCTGGACATTGGCTCCTCTGGGTAATCGCTTAACTGGATAGAGCCCCCCCCAAGGAAGGTAGATTAATGAAAACAGAAAGTAAAAAACACTATAATTATGTATATCTCCCTTTCTGCGTGTGTTAAAACATAGCCCAGTAATTAGAAAGATAAATAAGCTTTTTCCCCCCAGGGGCAAGAGATCCTCCTGCTTCAGCCTTGTGTGTAGTTGGGACTACAGGTGTGCACCACCATACCCAGCAGTAAACTTTCAATATGTCCTATTTGATGTTCCAGTAATTTTCAATTTAAAATGAAGTATTAATACATTATACCTAGGCTAACTTCAATTCAGCCTGCTGTCTAGACACATAATACGGCTACAGTGATAGAACCAAATTAAATTTGCAGAAAAAAAGACTTACTTCTTCAGAAAGATGTAACTTATCCAAAGAATCAACATTAAATGAAATGACAAAGTATTTCAAAGATTTAAAACAAGTAAAAAAGTTTCAAGGAAAACAGCCTAAAATCCTAAAATAAGTGGTAAGACTATCCTCCAGTAAGTCTAACACCTTGCATTACATAACTTCTTAGTTGACAAAGAATATAAACTAGTATTATTTTAATCTTTAAATTCCCACCCCAGTAGACTATTCTGTGATGATGAAATAAAAATAGTGACCACATGCTTTAGAGGACAACTCACTACAATGAGAACTGAAGACTTGCAAAATAAGATGAAAATGTTCCTGTATCTCCCAGATGCCAGGGAAAGTGAGAAAAATAGTTCAGTCTCCCACATTTTTAAAAAGTAACTGCTTCTGAAATGATCCAGCTCAAGGTATAGATTTTAAAAGCAGAAAATGTTCCCAAGGCAAGGCACAGAAAATAAATTGAGAGAAAATAGAAAACAAGGAAGAAGAAATCTTTCAACAAAGTAGGAACTGTTAGTCTCTCTCTCTCTCTCTCTCTGTCTCTCTCTCTCTCTCTCTCTCTCTGTGTGTGTGTCCTTGAAAGGTTTTGACCGAACCCTATTTGTTATCCTAGAAAAGCTCTTCTGAAGAAAGGTCTCAGTGTAGGCACTGCTTAAAAGAAGCCAACCCCTTGGAAATAGGGACGGCTCAGCCATTTATTAATGTCAAATATGCTGCCTGCATGAATTAGTCAGCTTGTCTTTTGGAAGCCATACAGAAAAGTCCTCTTGCACCTGCTTCTCAGCATCCTGACACTTCTGGCTTTACTGATGGCAGTAACAACCACCAGAAAATGAAATTTTTTTAAAAAAAAAGCTAAACACAGCTATATTCTTACTGAGCAGCCAATTCACCACTTTTTAAAGGCTTTTTCTTGAACTATCATCAGTGACCACTGCATTGAAATCATTCAGATATTAAGTGAAAGGCAAAACAGAGTCATTTTACTAAACTGGCAAGAATTTAACCAAATTATCACAAAACTGACCTTCAAAACAAAGAGAAATGGAGTAGGAAAAGGCCAAATTTCTTACTGGCAGTACCACAGTGGCAGATATCCCAGAACTAAGAAAAGTTGCCAAATTACAAAGAGAAATTAAAGGACTTTCCAAAAACAGCCAAACCTAAGGCACCCTGCATTCCCTACAGCTGGAATGAGCTTCAGAAGCAACACATAGGTACAAGGTCCGGCCTTATTCTTTATTTACTGTACAGTTCAAAGTCATTAAATCAAGTATAAAAGAAATGGGCCCCATTTCCTGGACTGGCACCAGACATCCTTCCTACCAGCTGCAATTACATCATTTTTTATCTGTGGTTTTTTTTCCTGTGTGGCAAGGAGGGGTCTTACAAATGGGCCAAAAAGATTTCAACCTCAAAACCAAGGAGAAATCCCTGCTTGTAGAAAAACAAAGGGAGTGAGTCTCTTATGAAAGGCAGTCAGGAACTCTGCACCACTTATAAGGCCCATTGATGGTGCTGAAGACGTTAGGATTACATTTTTCCGGGAGGTAGCACAAAGACAGAGAGGACCCAGGCATTACCAGTGGTGGGATGCTATTCCCACCTCCATCACCCGCTCTTTCATTCACCCCAACCTAAGCTCCACCAAATCTAATGACAAACAAGAGAAAGTAATTACACGTAGAAAACCAAAGTGAATGGGAATGTGGATGGAAGGAACATAAAAGAAACTGAAAATGATCCAAGTTGTTCAGTGCCGCCTTCTGGCATTGTCATGGAAGCCTCTGATCCACTGCTTCATGTGTCTAACTTCCAAGGAGCGTGCTGACAGCACAGACGCAGGATCGTAGGCATTGTTGGCTCGGAGATCTAAATGATGGGCCCCTTCTGGAATGGTGATTGCAACTAACGTATCAGAGATGTCTTTGGTTACTCCACCTCCTGACCAGGGGTCTAGGTCACCATTGCTGCAAATAAGGGAAAGAAGAAAAATTAAGGTTATTTTTCACATTTAAACTCAAATAAAATAGGAGAAATCCAGTAAATGCCTAACACTTAAAATTTTAACTCATAGACTGAGGGACTTAATCTGAGGATCTAATTTGTCATAAAGAAAGGTGTCCGTCATCTGAAAAATAGAGATAACAAAGTCTACCTCTAAAGTTGTAAGGATTATACCAAATAGAGCATGTGGAAGAATTTAATGAGATTCAGGCACATAGGAATTCTTCAATTAACCCTAGCTTTCTTCCTTTCTAGAACCCAAGTACTAAAATGATAAAGAAAAAACATTAATATTTAAAGTTCAAATTATCCCTTTGCCAAAAGAAAAAGAAAGAAAGAAAGTCACATTTTTTGTTCAACTGGTAAAATACTTTGGAAAATGGGATAGTAGAATTGTAAAAAGTCCCCAGAATCTAGAATCAGAAATTTTGGGCATTACTCAAAGATCTTCACTTTACATTAGCTTTAAAGTTAAGAAAGTACAGTACTACTAGGTTAGTCTTTACTACTTCACACAACACATTTCAGAATATAAAGAAGATCAGGCATCAAAACAGGTTGTTTAGTGTAGTTGAGTTAAGAAAAAATGAAAAATGCAGATAGTACCCTAATAATATTTTTAACAGCTTTATATGATTCGTATACCATGGGAGTCACCCCTTTAAAATGTATGGTTCAATGGTTCTTAGTATGTTTATTATTGTGCATCCATCACCAAAATCAATTTTAGTACTTTTCACTGCCCCCAAAATATACTCTTTAGCGGTCTCTCCACATTCACCCAACCCACACGCACACCTTGTCCCTGTCAGCCCTGGGGAACCACTCATCTATTTTCCGTCTTTATCGATTTACCTTCTGAAGATTTCACATAAATAGAATTGTAAAACTGATTGTCATTTGTGACTGCCTGCTTTCACCTGGCACAATGTTTTTCAGTTTTATACATGTTCTAGGGTGAATCAATAAATTATTCCTATTTATTGAAAAATAATATTCTACTATATGGATGGACCATATTTTATTTATCCATTCATCATTGAGGCCCATATGCATTGTTTTTATTTTTTTTTTTCTACCAGGGATTGAACTCAAGACCTTGAGCTTGTGAGGCAGGCAACGGAACCACTGAGCTAAATCCCCGGCCCTGTTTTTATTTTTTGACTATTATGAATATTGCTCCTATGAACATTCTCATATTCAAGGTTTTATATGGATGTGTATTTTCATGTTTCTTGGGTATTTACCACTTAATATCACCAACAGAACATTTTTTGTGTGTTCTGACATTTGTTTAATGCACACTCCATTGCGGGGAGGTATTTTCAAAGCCTAAAGCCAAAAAGACTTCAAGACCACTTATGAGATATATGAAATTATTTCCATAATGTACATAAATCATCAAAAAATTCACTTCTAAGTACAATCTATACAGAGGTGACTACTGCTATGGTTTGGATCTTAAATGTCCCCCAGAGGCCCGTGTGTTGTTAAAAGGTGAGTCCCCAGCTTGACACTAATGGGAAGTGGGAGAAACACATTAAGAACTGGGGTCCAAGGCCAGGGATTTAGCTCAGTGGTTCTGCCACCTGCCTCGCAAGCACAACGTCCTGAGTTCAATCCCTGGTACCAAAAAAAAAAAAAAAAAAAATGGGGTCCAGGGAGAGGCTTTAGGTTTTAGATTCCTGGGGGGAGTTGTTCTTTAAGACATTGTATGATCTGGTCTCTTCCTCTTTCTCTAATTCACTTCCCAGGTACCATCCTGTGAGCAGCTTACTCTACATTCCTGCACAGGCCCCAAACAACCTTGAACTGAAATCCAAAACTGTGAGCCAACTTTTCTATTTTTAAGTTGGTTATCTCAGATATTTTGTTATAGTGATAGAAATCTGACTAACAAAATAACAAATACTGGATCTTTTCAGGACCTTTCTGGAACACCTTAGAATCAAAGTTCAATTCCTCACTTATCATTCTTACATGGAAATCTAATCCGATGTCTCAAATATACAGGTTCCAAAACTTAGCTGCTGCAATGATCCAAGTCTAAGTAGCCCTCACCACCATCACCACCATCTTCCCAACCTGTTAATGGCAACTCTGTCCTTTTAGTCGCTCAAGTTAAAAAAACGTTGGTGTCGCTCTTTAACTTTTGTCTAACACCCCTTCCGTCAACAACTTCTGTCAGCTAAATATTCAAACATATCCAGAGTCTGACCACATCTCATAACTTCCCTGATCCAAATCATCATCATCTTTGGTCTGGATTACTGCAATAGGCTTTCAACTATTCTTCCTCCTTCCACTCTTATGCTTGCAATCTAATACCAACAAAGCAATCAATTCCACCCTGTAAATCACTCCTCTGCTCAAAACACTCCAACTTTTCACATCTATACACAGGGTATTAACTACTGTTATTCTCTATTAATTTGTTGTGAAATTTTGTTTTAGTTTTTTCATAAAATAAAAAATGAAACCAAAGTCCTTACCAGAATTTGCAAGTCTCTACATGCCCTGGGCCCTCCAATGCCTCTTCTGATTTTTCCTGCTACCCCTTCCTCCTAACCTCACTGGAACCACACTGAGCTCATTACTCTGCCTGAAAGAGAACATGCTGGGGACACTTACCTCTCACAACCTGTGCCCTTGCTTACCCCTCTGTAACACTTTTATCCACTAATCTCTTGGCTGGCTCCTTCGCTTCCTCCATATCAATCTACAAAACTCATCCCTTGGTGAGAACTTCCTGCTCTCTCTAATCTAAAATTTCAATACTTTCCCCTCCTCCTGACAGTTCACTGACCCTTCCCTAGCTTTCCCCCACCCACTCCTGGAATTTATTCCTTCTAGCGTGTTCATAGACACTATTTCGTTTTTATTACCTATCTGTCAAACTAGAACTCCACAAGGACACAGATTATTGGCTGTTTTGTTAACTACCATATCTCCAGTTCCTAGAGCCAGGCTGGACTCACAGTAGGAAACAAATATTTACTGAATGAATGAAAAAAAGAATATAAATGTCTAATTGTCTATGGCCTTGTACTGGATGTCCTACATAGATATCTAAGAATATGTATATATAGGTTCATGAACATGTAAATCTCTTTAGTGCTTTTTAATGTGGAATAGCATATAAGTTAATTAATAAAAATACACACATCAGCATTCAGCTATGTGTAGCAGTGAAAAGAACAATGACCTAAGTCTGAAGATATAAGATGTTTTGGTTCCTTTTTGTTTGTTTTATTTTGTTTTGAGATGGGGCCTCTCTATGCAATTCACACGAGTCTTGAACTCACTATATAGCACAGGCTGGTGATAATCCTCCTGCCTCAGCCTCCAGAGTGCTAAGATTACAGGCGTGTGCCACCAAGCCCAGGTCATGGGTCTAGGTTGCATAACCTTTTTAGCTGCATACAGCTTACACAAAATGGCCTTGTGTAAGTTACCGGACCTCTGTGAACCTCAGTTCCTACTTGTATTATAGGAAAAAAAAATAATCCCCCTTTCTCACAGAGACATTGTGATACCCAATAAATAATATATATAGAAAAAAGGTAAAAACTATGAAATACTACACAAGTATGCTGTGTAATCATATTATAATCATATTCTATAAGTGTGAGAAATGTTAGTACCTCCAATAGGTAAATGAATCATAAAAATGGATGTGAAACAATTTCTCATAAAAACTTAGGATACTCAATTTTTTCTAGGCAAATGCACAAATTAAATGAAAGAAATATTTAAGTACATTAAGTACATGTATGAAGTACAATGTAAATTTCTTGTTCTATTACAATGTCTTTTTTAAAAAGAATTTAATCATAACTTAGAAATACCATTATTTTTTAAAAATTACTTTAAAAATGCATCTTTTTAAAATTTTATTAAAAAGAAAAGGGAAAACTCAGTGGAAAACAAGAGTCATAGTTTTCAACTACCAGATAATGTTTAAAGTAAACTAAACAAAGGTTGGATTCTCTTAAGTGAACAAATAGCCTTTATCATTATTCCAATTTGACAGGCCCAAACAAGATAGGAAACTCTCCATTATTTGCAAAACAAAAAATCTATCCCAACAGCCACATAATAAGCAAACTGCATTTGATTTAAAAGGTCATCTGAAACAACCTAGTGGCTTAGCAACAGTGTTTGGGGTTGCTGAGAGACCTAAGATGCACATGGACTTGAATTTCTTGGTCTTAGACATGTAAAAGCTAAAACAATCATTGGGAAATCTACAAAAAAAACAAAAAAAACAAAAAAAAAAGAAAGAAAGAAAGAAAACTGGCTTTCATGAGAGAATCTAGATGCCTGGGTAAAATTCCCAACAACCAGCCTCACTTAATCACTGGCAACAATTAATTTGCCTGAGAAATGATGTCAACTAGCCTGCTCCTCGGAGGCTCCTTCTGAATTTATATTTAAATAATCAGGAATGGCCATTGATAAAATGGTCTAAGAGTTGGGAAGAGGGGTTTCATCCAAACAAGACCACAGCACAATTTTTTTTAAATTTGCTTAAATGAGATTATTTATTGAGGCTTCATTCATCCAACAAATGCTTACTGAGTGTCCCCTATATGTCAGGCACTCATTGGGCACAGGGGACTCGGTAGAGAACAAAGCAGACAAAATCTCTGCCCTCATGGCATTTACTTCCATGACAATTTATTTTCTCCTTAAGTAATGCTGCTCCGTAGTCACAATTTCCAAATTATATGAATTGGCAATTTGCCAAAAGCTGCACAGCTAACTCAAGAAAGAAGCAGGAAGACATCAAGGTCTGTTTGGCTTCAGAGTCTTAACTGACAAATCTTTTTATTTTTTCAGCTTTAATTGAGTTTATTGGTACATTTTAGGGATACAGTACAGTTACATTCATTGTTGGGATCTTGTACCTCTACATGACAAGTCTTGGTTCTCATTTTTACCCCTTACCCCTGCTCTCCCTTCACCCGCTCCTCCCCTCCCCATCTACAACCACTTTATTTCCATCTTTTCATCATCTAACATTTTTTTCTTTTCCCTTATTACCCTTCCCCTACCCGTCCCACCTTCCCTACACCTTTAGCTCCTTTCTTCCCATTTCTCAATGTTAACTGACAAATCTTAAACGACAGACTGAACTTTCCAAACCGATCAGCAGACACACTTGGATTTATGTGAGATGGGCTGAGATGAGAAGTCTGAACACCTCCCACGTGCTTCCTCAGACATTCTCTTACACAAAGCATACAGAACAGAGGCACCTGAGGCTGCTTTTTTACTTCAGGGGAGAAAAGGGTTACATTTTCTTCAGAAAATAATTCTGAATCTTTTGATAGCTTAAATTTTTTTACACTGGAATTTTCATACCTAGCAGCCTGAAGTAAAAGATTTCTTTATAAAAGTAAACTTGCCGCTACAGAACAATAAACTAACATCTTCACAGTCCTGCCTTTAAACTTCCACAAGCTCCTGAAGCCTTCTGTACTGTGCAATTCTTCCCTTGTCTTATCAACACACACATTCATGGAACTCCACCACGTGCTAGTCAGGTAGCAGGTGCTAAAGGCACAGAGACGATTAAGATGAAAGCCCTGACATTGAGATATTCGCCATCTTCTGGGGCAGACAGGATGCAAACAGATTTTTCCATACAGAGTGGTTAAAAGGTATTTACAAGTCCTAGAGAAGCTAAAGGGCCGGTGGATGTCTATGCTTTCTGGATGACTCAAGAAAGACTTCTTAGAGGAGGCCTGAGTCTTAAGAAGAAGAGGAAGAAATGGGGACATTCGGGACAAATACACAATTTCTTGGGGGTAAACTGTAAAGTGCAAAGTAGAAATTATACTTTCATTTATTTATTCAACAAATATTTTTAGTATATATATTTGCCAGATCTGGGCCAACAAATGTATGAGGTGAATGATATTATCATTCTCATTTTACAGAAAATGAAACTGGGGATCACAGAACTTAACTATTTGCAAAAGCTCAATCTACCTTTGCACAGCTCTTTCACAGTCATTTCTTACACTGAGTTATCATCTTATCTACTGGCTTCTGTTCTATTCCTGAAAATTTTCTCATAAAATATGGCCCCTTCTCCATTGAAGATGATACATGATGATGTTAATTTTGAAATCCCCAAAAAAATACTATAAAAGGGCAAATGAACTCAGGGAAAGAAAAATGTACTTGACCAAAATTCATTTAGTAAAACCTCATACAAAGATTAAAGACTCCAGTTAATTTGACTTGAACTTGAGCTACAATTTAAGATCAAAACAAGGAAAAATGAGCTTAAATTAAAGTTCAGAATGCTAGAAAAATCCACATAAATACTCCATGGAAGTATGAGCTTGGAAACTGCTATGATTTGGATGTCCTGCCCAAAATTCATGTATTGAAACATAATTCCCACTATGGTAGTAAGAAGAGGTAAGGCCTTTGGGCAAGTGATTAATCTCAAAGAGTTCCATCCTTGTGAATGGATTAGTGCCTTATAAAAGAGCTGAAGGAACCAAGCATGGTGACACATGCCTATAATCCTAGCATTCTGGCAGGCTAAGGGAGGAGGATTGCAAGATCAAGCTTAGCCTGAGCAAAGGGACAGTTACATAGCTCAGTGTGAAAGCCTTGAGTTCAATACCCAGTGCAACCCACACACACACAAAAAGTGACATTTACAATTTTAACAACAGCTCTCTTTAAGATGTATGTATTGGTATTTCTTTACTATTCCCACTTAGATTTAGGGAAATTTTTTTTTAACCAGTTGTTGCCTTAATAGTTAACAGTTTAGCCAAACATGAAAATTTTGAAGGCACAGTCAGACAACCATAGCCAACTCAATTAACTTTGACATGAACCAATATTGAATGCGTCATGTTTTAAGGAATAAAGTAGAATGCCAATAGTGTTTGTAGTTAGACGAGTCAAGGTAGAAATATGGCTTTATCGCAGACTTGGTTGAGTTTGACAAGGAACTGAACATGATGACTTTCAGTTTCCCCCTCAGTAAAAAAGAAACTGTAATGATTACACCACAGGATGGTTAGGAAGATTCAAATGGGTCACTTCAAGTGCCTCAGGTAGTACTTGGAACAGAACAAAGTGGATACTTCAAAAGTATCTATCTGAGAAATCTTTATATATCAGTAGTACATCATAAAATTTAATCTCTTTTCAGCATCTAATCTTTCTTTTTTTTTTTTTTGGTACCAGGGGTCAAGCACAAGTCCTTGTGAGGCAGGTGGCAGAAACACTGAGCTAAATCCCTGGCCCAGCATCTAGTTTTTCAAGGAGAAAACAAACAAACAAACAAAAAACCAATGGGTACCACTGCTGTATTTCTATTGTTTTACTGTCTAGCATTTTTCCATTTCTAGTTTATCAGTTATTCTACAAAGGTCTCCATCAACCAAGGCTCATGTTTGGACCAGCAAAGCTCACCTGAAAATGATGTTTGAGTGTGAACTAATGTTTCTGCCTCCATACAAGGTAGTGATCCAGGAGGGCCTCGGTCTCACACCCCACTGATTAAAACACTCATCAGAGAATTGCTTCAAGTTCCACAAGAAGGGTTCAAACATGTCATCGACACCATTAGCACAAAAAGGCATGACCATTTCTGTGCAGGCCTAGAAGGAAAACAAGTAAACAATCCAAAGATAAGTGAGGCACAAAGAAATAAAATAACTTACCCATGGCCATTCAGCTAGTAAGGAGCAAAGCCAAGGTATGAACTCAGGCAATCAAGCTTCAAGGCCCCCAGCTCTCTATTTCTATCCCATACACTCCCTTATTAAATCACTGCAAGACTTGGCTGAGAAGTCATAGAAATTAGAACTCTATATTCCTTCTTTTTTTACAAATTTCCTTCTTTCACATTTGCTATCATACTTAAACTTCAAGACCATTCTGGAAAGAAAGCATTATTATTACTATTAGTTTTATTGGGTAGATGAAAGGATGAAGACTCACAGAGAGTTGAACCTTTTCTTGTTTTAACATTTATCCATATAAATGGATCCATCAAGATCTATCACAATATTAGTTTAGTTGCCTATCTTTCTTACCAGGATATATGTGAGGGCAAGATCACGTAGGAAATATCTTTGTATCTTTGAAGTATGGAAGGACAACTGACATATGGCAAGTGCTCACCACGTATTTGGTGATGGTCAAATAGAATGACTGAATAAGTGAGGAAAGTTAATCCTGGTCTCACAGAGTAAAGTAAAAGAACCCAGTATAAGCTAGGTGACACCTTGTATTGTCTCTGTTATAGCACAACTGAGTGAGTGAAAAGTAAATTCTACTTGGGAAATCACACATGCTTACCTGATAACTCCAGCCCAGGATTCCCAATCTGCTAGTTGCTGTTTCTGAAATATTCAGGCATTTCGCCTGGCCTGAATAATTATAATATACATTCAGAGCTTGGAAAATATTCTGCAGCAGCAGTGAATCAGATACATTAGGATTTTTCAAATACTGGCACACTACCTGTCATTTTAGATAAATGGGAAGAGTCAGAATATAAATATAAAATGAGTTTAATAACACAAGGAAAAAATGATTTTAATTTGATCATAAAACATAAACATCTTAACTGAATTGCTTAAAATTTTTTCTGTCTCTTGAGTATAATCCCTTCATAAAGTGATAAACATTTTAAATTCTCCCCAGTCTACAGGAATGAACCAAATCATTCACATGATATGCGAAGGCCCCTCCACATACCACGGTAACTTCATCTTCACAACATTGGCTCCAGCCTAGTAAAATCATTCCCCACCACACCAAGCTCTTCCTTTCCTTTTGCCCCTGTTCACTCTTTTCCTATTCTCCTACTCCACTAACGCCTAGAAAATGCCAAGTCATCTTTTACAACATTCAATTCAATTATCACCTTCTCTCCAAGGCTTTCCTTGCTTCTATTCCAGAGTCTGGAAGACCTTAAAGCACTCCCTTCTTGGTGTTTCCCTACTCCCGACACCTATTTCTATCAGAGCCCCTAGAACATCTTCCTCCATACTCAACAAGGTCACTACAACTATACATTTGCTGAATCAATGACTATATTTTTTAAAATGCAAAATTTATAAAATTTCTTACAGAAAAACTACACTAAGTCCCCACATTGTAGTATGATAAGAAGCATATCCTGTATCTCTGTAGTTCCCAAATATTCCTCTCAATGATCTATAATCATTGCCTGAAATCCTATCTCTGAAAATCACAGGCAATACTGAGGGTTTAGCGTGAAGGTGGACACTGACTACAGGAGGCATTGGGAACTCCCACCCCTGAGCTACAGAAATATCCTAGATCTTCAAAGGGTCTGGGCTACACAACAACGGGTGTACTTCTGTGTGCATTTCACTGCGTGTAGATTCTAAACTGCCTCCCAAAGAAGAATTAAGCAAATACTGAATTCCAGTTAAGGATATTAAGGTTTAGTTATTTAGTGGGAATATGTCTGCAACTTTGAAATCCATTAAAAGTAACACAAATAAAGAATGGCTATGTGAACAAGTCAAATACTGCAAAATATTATTTACAGAATTTAAATGGCAATGGATGGGGATGCAGCTCACTGGTAGAGAGCTTCTAGCATTTAACATAAGAGATAGAGAGGAATTTAGGTGGTGAGTTTATGAGTGTTCACTATCCACTTATTTTAACTTTTCTGTATGTTTGAAATATTTCCTATAATTAAATGTTATAATTAAATGTTAGGAAATAATCATGGGCAATGGAATCATAGCTGAATAACAACAACAGTTACCAATTATTATGCCTTGAGTTTACAACCATTACACTGTTAATCCTCAAAACCCTTATCAGATTATTATCCACCATTTCACATGTAAAAACACATTCTTTGGCTAAATTGTTTTATTCAAGGTTACCCAGCTAGTGAATGGTAGGCCTCGATTTATGCCCAATTGTCTCTGGTTATGATATATAGCTCATCCATTATGCTATATAGCTTAAAAAGCATCCTTCTGTAAAAGTGTGAAGAGTCGCAATGGCAAGGAAGATTTAACACTCGCATGTTCTATTAGAACTGCGACATGAATTCAGTGAACGCATCCTTTCCTACTTCTTAGGGAAAAAATATATACAATAGGCAAGTTCTGACAAAAAAAAGACAAGTCCAGGGAAGAAGTCAGGAAGCTTAGAGCCCAGTTACTGCACCCCATAGACAGACCCAGGGCAGCAAGAATGACAAGGCCTAGACTGGGGAAACTCTCCCAGTCAGGAAAAGGGCACTGAGAACAAGGGTAAAAAGCCAGTAGCACATCCAGCCCTCCTCATAGTTCTGCCGAGGACTGGCTTTCAGTAACAACTTCTAGGAAAAGAAAGAAGAAGAATGAAGAAAGAAGAAAGAAGAAAGAAGAAGAAGAAGAAGAAGATAGAAAGATAGATAGAAAGAGGGAAGAAGGGAGGGAAGGACAGAGAGAGAGACAGAGAAAATTTGACAAGGCACGGAAAATTTGATGCTGCTGTCCAAATAAATTCTGAATGACAATATTTCTATGGAATGTTGATACTTCATGAAAATACTCAGTCAAATAATTTCAAGAACTGTTGGATGACCAAATGTGAAGACTTTTGTTGACTGCAAGATTTCTCAGGGCATTTAACATGCTCAACTGCAACACGGCTTTCCAAAGGGAAGACAGAGTGTGCATCAATAATTCTGGTCAGTTTTTGGAAAAGTTGAGTATGAGAAAAGTCAGGACATCTGTATATATCTTTTACAAAGTATTTATGTGAAGTCATGAGCATAATGTACACCCCTGTTCAGGATATACATGAAGAAAGAGAACTGAAATAAACTGAGAGCTTCACAAACCTATCATACCTAAAGCAATAAGGAAATGCCTGCCAGTTGAAGACAAATAAAGTAAAAACGTTTACTCTTTTGACAACTCAATTATTCATGGCAAGTCAACTACCTGACATTTGTATAGCACTCAGAAAATATTTCTATGAAATATGGCAACCAGAAATACTCCAGACAGTGTGAAACTCAAGAACCATTCACAAAGTGTATTAAACTACATATTGCCAACAATGGAGCAGCACTCTTTCCTAAACCGGGACACCAGCAGCAGACTCAGCTTTTTCAAATTTCAGCATAAAACTAGTCTAGACACATGAAACACAGAGAAGAGTGTGATGTTCTAGCACAGCATAGTGGATGAGGCAGAATTATAATCCAAGCTAGGCAGGGGGCAAGGAGGTAGCAATGTGCAACCAGTGACTTAAAACTCTGGAAAAGACAATTCTCCATGTGACAGGAGCCCAGAAAAAAACAGGGGTAGCAATCTTATTTGCAGGCAAAGTAAATTTCAAACCAAAACTGAATCTAGTATTATTGATGTAGGACAGTACTGTATCATACCTCTATGAATGTAAAATATCTAGTACCTGCTTTATGATACATAGTAGGGACCGTGCTTTATCAGAGCTACATTTAATGATATTACTCTAGAATGTTCTCTTTCGAGATGATGATTAAGAGGCTAATAGAAAAAATGGTGCCAGTTACCACAATAGCAACAGAATTTTGCTGTTGTCTGGATATTATTCTTTTCTTTGGTTTGTTTTTTTTTAATGGAATGTGCTGAATGTCTATAATTTTGTTCAGATGACTGCAGAGCCTGGAAAAGCTGTTGCTGCCATCGATGCATAACATACTA